ATGGCTTCCTAAAAATGCTGCAGGATTTCTCAAACATGCATGAATGAGTCAAAGCAAGGCTTTGGGCAAGTTTTTTTATGAGAGTATAACATTATAACATGATATAAAACTCAAAAAAGTTGATTTTACATGATATTGCCCCTTGTGAGATTTGTCCGACAAGAGTATGTCGAAAACAATACTCAAAATATGTCAATAATAAGACTCTCAGCTACTACGACGCCATATTTATGCTAAATATCTGAAAAAAAATTACTGGGGAATAGATATTTTTTGTTTGATAAGGTCAATTARCAGCGACAGCCATCTTGAATTAGGCTAGCTCCAAAATGTAATCAGTTTCAGAGGTACATTCAGCAAATACTTTTATTAACATCTGTTTAGTGGTTCATGAGATAATCTGCTAACGGACAGACAAACCACACACCCACACAAACAAGAGCAATTATGTGATCCCCCACCACCAAGAAAAGACGGGCGATCATGTAATAAACAGGCTATAGATTTGCATGAAAGAAACCACTCCTGATCCTTCACTACTTTTATTTCTGCTGYAATAGACACTGTGTACACTTTATTGTCTGGTAAATGTCAGTGGTGATGGATAAATGATTGATTTCCAGCCATGCTGGAATGAATTTATATTTTTTCTCTGTTGTCACTCATCAATACTCGCWTACTAAGGCTGAAAGGAAGATATACTATCAGTTTTTATGACAGGCTGGAGGCATTGCTTGGTAAAAGAATGAGAAAGGAGCCCAAAGTATTTTTTAAGGGAGACAATGATAATTTTCTTGTGTTTTGAATATATCAATTACAGCATATGACCCATCAAGTCCCTATCATGCCAGCAAGAGTAGCAAAGGTGTTCTTAAGTAAAAGAGATTGCAGCTGATCACAAAGCAAAGCTGTAAACAAGAGAAATAAATAGTGGTCTACCAAATGTTTTATAGGCAAAACATTCTCAGACAGAACTGCTCATCCATCTGGACAGTCATGTGGGATGGTGCTGCATCACTGTAATTTATGGAAGGTTTGTTGACTGAGCCCTAATGATTGTGCATCTACTAGCAAACACATAAACACAGGTAGAGAGAGCAGGGAGAAATCAAAATTGATTTGACTTTAACATGACTTTTTTAAGTTCTTAAACTTCTCAGTGGTGGTGTTATTTTAATTATTTACAAAAGAATGCAAGAAAATTCTCATACACAAGAAAAAAAGGAATATTGGTCAATACATCCAAAGAACTGCAGYGCCACATATTGTACTTTGTACTGGGTCATAAAACATGACTGCATTCGCTATCTTTATTGGAATATATGGCTCATTGCTAGATTGTTAAGTGCAAAAATAGGAAAAAGACGTATGAAATACTGATTAAATAAACACAAGTGTTGGTGCCAATGTTCACCAAGCAATTTTGCCAAAAATAAGCAGTAACTTTATTCCAATTCCTTTTGCTTCAGTGCACTTGGAAATTGTTGTTGCATTGGCTTCAAAAATAACATCCAAAACAAACAAAACATTTCATATGTGATGAAAATAACAGAACAGCCTCCTCATTAGGCAAAGAAAATGGATGTAAAAGGTAAAAACTGAAAGAAGCATGAAAAGTAAAGATCTGTTGACCACAAATGTGAAGTTTCTTTTTTCTGCCTCCATGTTACACATTTTAAAAACTACCAGAGTCTTGAAAAGAAAAGGAATTCATCAAAGGTTTAAAGCAAGGGTGCCCAAATATTTTCCCTGAAAGGGCCAAAATTAAAATCAATCCGAGGGCGGTGGGCCAAATGCAATAATGTAATACACGGAATGCAAATACTTCAAGTAAAGTTACATTTTTTATGATTAAGCTAGCAGCCAGTGTGGTTGCCCACATTTTTTTTGTTTGCTTTTTCAGCCCATGGACATGGAGAAAATTCAACTTTTGCTTGGGCAGCAAAGGCTCATGGGACTTTTCATATTTTTAAAATGTGAGTATATGTGGTCTTATAAGGTGTGCAAATCTAGATATGTACTTAAATGTCTCTTGAAGTTACTTGTATTTTAAGTTTAATCTTAATGTAATTCAAARATAAAGTGAGCACCATGAGTTAAGACWATCTGRCTRCAGCTCCTTGTACMTATAGTTGRACCAATGTTTGAAAAGACTAAGTGTAAATATAKTTTTTCTACATAAGACAGGAGATTACAATCTAGTAACCTGGACAACTGCTAGTGGGCCAAATCAAATGGCTTGGCGGGYCAAATTTGGCCCRCAGGTCCCACTTTGGGCACTTCTGGTTTAAAGGAGCAGCATGCCGATGCTAACTTACACATTTTGTGCACTGWACAAGTTTGTAGACTTCAAGAAATGCTCTAAAATTATACAGATAATTCAAAGCACACACAGAGATCCAAGAAATCAAAAAAGTAATAATYAATGTTTTGTTGAATTTAGATTTTACTAGTTGTTTCCTTTCATTACTATGAATTAGTTTTTGTGGGGTTCAGAATTAGAGACCTTAATGTAAGTTGGCAATAAGATATCACCAGATTACCTGGTCAAGAAGCTGGTTGTAGAGTTCATGACAGTTGTCAAAAATGTATCTGTACGTAGAGTCGAGACAAGCTTTCACACAGTCCTTCACCACCATGCTGGCTCTGGGTGGACTCTGGAGCTCTTGTACCTGKACAAACACAGACACGTTTTATTTCATTTATTTATTTTATTTTTTTCTGTGAACAACTTCTACAATATAGTAATTGTTCGAAGAGAGGATATAAACAAATCCCACTCCATTGGTGTTGAATTGAGTCAAGTTTTCATCTTAGAATTTTTGGCCCAGAACAAAAATTTTAAATTTTTCCTGAAGGCTGTTTTGAAACTATGTAATATGTTAGCACAATAAAGACAAGAACCATATTTGATAGGTTTCACAACTGTAGAAACTTTAATTTAAAGGAATCCAAAGTGAGTCAACATGTTTCATTTGTCAGAGAAATATTTAAACGGGCAATATTTTGTGTTTCTCAGGCATCTATTTAAATTCTATACCGTAATTAAAATAACWATGTCACCTTCAGTTGTTATTAAAATGCTGTTTATATGTTTAAATAGAAAATAAACTTGACTTTTCATCATATATGTTTCTAAATGCCTTGAAATTGGTCTCTGTCTCTTTAAAAACCTCCTTCTGCTTCTGTCCCACCCATTTCAGCACGGGCCAAGTGGGTGTGTGTGCTCTGTGATGAGGAAGCTCGGCTTGGAGACACAGCCTATAGGAGGAGCTGATCCCAAAAGGTGGTTCTAGTCCCAACCGGTTGCTTTGCTCCCCTGCCTGGCTGCCTCAGGACACTACAGGATTTCTCAAACAAGCATGAATGAATCAAAGCAAGACTCTGGACATGTTTTTGATGAGAGGATAATATTATATCATGATATAAAACTCAAAAAAATTGATTTTACATGATACTGCCCCTACTTGTATCTGAGAGACAGTGATGTGTCTCCTGTGTTTTGTCACAAATATTCACGTCAGTTTTAGGCACTTTCTGTCTTATCATATCAGTACTAGAGTTTGATTTACTATAAATTGGCTTCATCAATCATTTAATGATTTCATGTAAGACATGTTTGAATTTTTAACGAGATATGATTTTCTCAAAAAAATAATAGAACCTACTCACATGTATTATACATAATACAATTTAATTGAAATCAGTCACTCTGACATATAGGCGCAGGTCATTGTATAGTAGCAGTATAGCTGCAGTGTGTGMGTGCTGGTGTGTGATGTACACACAGCAGGGCTCAGCTTTGGCACAGAGTGAAAGCTTTGATGACCTAAAGTGACAGTTTTCATTCCTATGCCTGCAGCTGCCATCTCAGTTATGCTTCAGTGCTCCGGCGCACACACCCACCAAAAGACCACTAGAGAAAGCCGAGCTTTTCGTATTTCCTGGAAGCAAGTGGGTGCACTGTAAACTCTAGGAGAGGGAGAGGAAATTAAGCACTAATAGTAGCTTTTTAAACAAACTGTCAAGGTTAATTGTGGAACACAGGTCAATGCCTTACACAGTGATGACACAGCTGAAGTTGATGCTGAATGCATGAAAATGTGTTATAATAAATTACTTGATTGGTCAGTTGTGTTGCAAGGACAGGGTTTTGGGAAGTTATGAGTTTAGATTGATTTTGCTTGAATCAAATGAGACTGAAATCAATGTGGGTTTATATTCATAACTGAACGAGTGGAGCTTTAATTACAGTGACCAGCACTGCGAGTGCATGATTCACACWGACAAGGGCACAGCTTCTCTGTGCTAAAAGACTCACATGGACTGTGCTGTGCAGAAGTCTTGAGTCACTCCTCATTGCTTTATATTTTGCTTTCTAGAAGTCAAAATTTTGGGGATGTTGAAAGGTGGTCTTYACAATATTCTCTATCGGGTAACCGGTTGATCCACTATGCAAAGGTAAGTCTGAGTTTACCTGCGACTCCTCAGACTGAAGAAGTCTTTTARATAAAAGACAAAAAGTTTCAACAAAGAACCAGAATTCTGATTCAACATTGTTAGATATTCTCTACTTTTTTATGGGTTTTAAAAGTGTTTCTTTAGACTTGAACTGTTTTTTACCCTCTCGTTTTTCTTCCAGGACTTAAACATTTTGAATATGTTGTTTGATGTTAGATCACAGAACATTCACCTATGACTCGATATGGCATCAAACTCAGGGGATAATTAAATAATATATTTTGTTACGAGCAGTATTTCACAAAGAAACTGTCTGTTTCAATTGCTTCTCTGTTTAACCTATAAAAAAACAGCAAAAAAGAATTTAATTCAAAACACACAATCAACAAAGAGCTATTTTTTAACATTTCTTAAAGACAAACATACACTTAATTCATCTGCTGTAGTTTTAAGTTTGGATTTTCTTCTTTTGGCCTCTACTTGTGCACCCCGCCCCCCTTTGATACACTGCAAAATATGCAGTCCTGATCAGGTACAAAGACAGAAAAAAGCTGAAAGGCAGCCTAAACCCAAATAAAAACTTTGAAAGATTCCCAGCAAACTTGAACTATTGAAGATTGCTTATTAAAGAGAAAGTCGGGCTCCTTGGAACCAGAGTAAAAAAAAACAATGAATGGTGTAAATTTTTTACATAAGTTCCAGCCTGTAACTCTATGGTGTCCTGATGCCCTTCACATTGTTTACAGCTGAGACAAAATTATCTCTTTCTCACACACATACACACACTTTACCTTCATCCTGAAGAAGGTGATGCTCGTAAGCAAATCAACGGTGGACTTCAGATCTTGGAGACGCTCTGGGTTTCCTGCAGGGAAGTTATCCTGGAATGTAATGGAGAGAGGGAGACAACATGAACAACATGAGGGCAGAAAACATCTATCTGACAGCAGCTGTGTAGCGTCAACCAGCTCTACCTACCACATCACTTCATCGAACCCAAAACATGAAAATGTATTAGAGAGAAATGCCCAGAAATCATCACAACATGACAGTCTGTCTAATCATTTAGTGGACAAGGGAGGTCTCTCCGCTGATGAAATTTCTTATTTTAGGGCCATGAAGTCATCAAGCGGTGCAGAGCAGCGTGACGGGGAGCATATAAAGCCCTGACAGCTCAGAGGAAATGCTTTGCTGGTCCATGTCTTTTACTACTTCTACTCTCGCTGAGCTTTTATAAAAAGTTGCTTGTTTTGTATCACTCCTCAATCCTGTCAATAAATTCACATTGTGGGGGTCAGAAAAAAACAAAACAAAAAAGAACCAAATCCTAACTGCCGCTTCAGGCTTGACAGCGTAAGCAAAAAAATAAAATAAAAAAAAAGATAGGAGATCAAACCAGATCTGCTGACAAGAATCTCACCTGACATCTTTAAAATACAGTATCCTGGGAAACTGGTTTAAGAAACCAACCAAGAGAAAACAATGTGAGAGCTGTGTTTCTGGCCCACAGACAACCAGCAGTCCACTGAGAGAATCCAATTGATTTCCTCTGTGCTTATGATTAATAGGAAGAGTCAAGTTTGGAGGTGAGAGTGTAATAAACAGCCGCCAGGCGAACAAGCTCGACACATATCCTTATAAACAAATGTGCTATATTTGTCTGATGATGGGAAAAAAGAACAAAAATAAAATCAATGTTTCTTTGTTGTTGTTTTGCTTTACAGACGCTGTTTGAATCGTTGATTTTTCTATGAACTCCAGCAGTGTTTAAATGTTTAATATTTGTATCTCAGTGAAAACTTGAGTTTGACTTGAATTTTCAAATTTAAAGGAGACATAGCATCC